CCCCCCCCCCCCCCCCCCAGCCAAATCTCCCCTACGAACCAAAAAAACAACCCACGCCTCGATAGGTCACCAAAAACACAAAAACAAGAATTGATCGCCGGAAACCTGCCGCTACAGTACTACCCCTTCCGTGCACGCGACCAGAGAACCAAACACCGCACCTCCGTCTTGCTGATGACGTTGTCTCCGTCCGTGTCCGGCTGCTTGAACTCCTCGTACTCCATGTTGTCTTGCTGGATGCTGCGCGCCTTCGGCCTTGTCGCCCCTCCTCCCAACCCGCTGCCCCCGGCCCCCAAGTCCACGCCGGCGTCCTCGGCAGCCGCCACCAGTTGCATCAGCTGCACGTCCGCCTCCTGCGACCGGCCGGCCGACAACCCAAAACACGAAGCCACAGCAGCAGCAGCAGCAACAACAACAAGCAGTGACATGTCCGTTAGAGTCAGGTGCATGATCATCCCCCCAAAAAATCAGCAGCAGCCACAGCAGCGGCAACAACATGGTATCCAGTTGCGTCAGGTGCATGCTCATCCTTCCGGCGTCTCGGTTATCAGCCGTCCAAAGACAACAACAGACAGAAAAAACCGCAGCAGCAGCAGCAGCAGCAGCAGCATATCCAGTTCGCGCCAGGTGCATGCTCATCCCCCCGGCGTCTCGGTCATCAGCCGGCCAAAAACAACAACATCCAGTTGCGTCAGGTGCATGCATGCACGTCCCAGGGTTCAAGTGGCCACGGCTAAATCTTCCCTCGCTGACACAACAACAACAACAACAACAGCAAACGACCCCTTGGCCACATCCATCTTCATTGGTGCATGTTATTCTTGTGTGCGTGTGTCTCACCTCGACTTCGTGGGCCAAAAGCTTGATGGGGTACGTCCGCCTAGCCATCAACGCGTCTCGCTCCTTGTTCCACTCCGCAATGAAGGCCTGATTCATTTGATTCATTTTTTTCGTTCAAAGGTCCGACGATCGATTAACAACGTCGAGCCATCGGATGATTGGCAAACAACGACATGTCATCAATAACGAACAGCGGCAGCGATTGGTCAACGTACAGGCGCCATATCAACCAGCAACAATGTGTCAATGTAGATACAGACACCAATGTCGACGACCTTGCCTCTCGTTGATTTTGTCTTGTCTCAAACTCTCGACTCGTGCTCAACCTCACTGTCCCCATCATCCATCTATATCCAATCGTCTGCGTTCTTGCGGTCTCATCGCCGATTTGACGCCTGTACAACAGAGCACGGTACTCCCGTGCGCTTGGTGCCTCACCCATGCCCCTTGGATCGAGCAACCCTATCTACCGTTCTCGGCCCATTACCTTGTCCAGGGGATTTGACTTTCATTTTCTCGAAGCTAGAGTTATGTACGCATACATACATAACGTGTGTACACTGCTGTGCGAAAAACGTTCGTGCAAGATAAGCCAAAACACCAACGGATGTAACGTAGGCTTTGTTTCGCTGGTCCCCCACTCACCGCCGACTCTTGTTCGAGCAGCTTGTTTCCCTTCTTGGCTGATCGCGCGCTCCACCACCACTCGATCGAGGCTCCCGCGATCGCTCCGGCGAGGAGGACCAGCTTGTTGCTCCTGTCACGCCACAGCCACGTCAAATCATCACGTCAAGGCACATCACATCATGTCGCATCCCGTCAAATCATCACGTCAAGGAACATCACATCATGTCGCATCCCGTCAAATCATCACGTCAAGGAACATCACATCATGTCGCATCCCGTCAAATCATCACGTCAAGGAACATCACATCATGTCGCATCCCGCCGCGTCACGCAGCATCACATCGCGCGTCCCCATCATGCCACGGCACGAGCAGTTTTCGCAGTCGTGATTGCACGCTAGCATCGCGGCGCACGGGGGAGGGAGGGAGGGAATTACACAGCAGTTACACTTTGCAGCTGCATGCATCAAGAGCAACAACGAAAGATTCGAAATCGGTTGGCAGTGCGGTCGGTAGTTGATGTTCGAACAACTCGAACACCTCACCATCTCTTCAGCGATGAGGAACAGCTTGATGCTGCTTACACGTAGTAAGTGGCTATTCGTAGGGCGCCGATGCGGCTTCTTTTGTAATCGTCGCTCTCAACACCTTGCCGGGCATACACGTACTAGCGCAGGGCTGCCCAGCTACAGTATCCTCCGGCTTATGCCAATCAAAGGGCCCTTCTTCTACCCCACCGACTATGGTACTCTCTCTCTGTTTCCCTGCCGCGGCCTCTTGGTGACTCCTCGAGTTATTGGTGCCAGCCCGACTAGCCAATCGGCTCGAGTTAATCCACTGACATCCATCTCATCAACCCAAGTTCCCTGTCACCTGGTCACCTGCGTTCTTCTGTAGGCAAATTGATCCGACCTCTCTTTTATCCATTCTCGTGCGCTATCGCCTCTGCTTGACCGCTCCTTTTCTCCGCTGTTCTCTCCCATCAGTCCACTCGTTTCTCCCGCCGATCTACGTACGCCTCTTCGACACAACCAATGAATCTCTCGCTCATCGATCCTCTTTCTACAAATTTTCCGAGTGCATGTGCATTCTTTGACGTAAACCGGCTCACCTCTCTTGTTTGAACTTGACTTGTCCGTTCGTCTTCGCTACCGATCCAACCCTTTCTCTGTAGTTATCTCCCAAGTCAACTTGCATTCTTTGGAGCAAACCAGCTCACCTCTCTCCTCTGAACTTGACCAGTCCGTTCGTCTTGGCTAGATACAAGTCCTTCACATTCTTTGGCGCTTACCTCTCTTGTCTGAGCTTGACTAGTCCGGTTCTTGTTCACTATCGATCCAATCTCTCTGCAATCTTCCATTCTTTGGTGCTGACCTCTCTTCTCTGAACTTGACCAGTCCGTTCGTCTTGGCTAGACACAAGTCCTTCACATTCTTTGGCGCTCACCTCTCTTCTCTGAGCTTGACTAATCCGGTTCGTTTTCACTATTGATCCAATCCTCTCCCTACAATCTTCTATTCTTTGGCGCAAACCCGCTCACCTCTCTTCCCTGAGGAGCTCGACTAGTCCGGCCGTCTTGGCTATCTACAAGTCCTTTTTGGGTTCTTCTGTGGGCAACATCGACCTTCGCCTCTCTCTAAGCGTCTACTGTAGAGTTGCACAGATTCGATGCGCACACACAAAATCAACCTCTACGCAGATTCTCTCACCCTAGCCAGTTGGACCAGCGCGAATATTACAATATACTCAAGTAGAGACCGGGACGATTGTTAACTGTGAAGACGACGATGAAAACAACTTACCCCTGCGGTTCTTGGTATAATCCCGCCCCCTGGTGATGTTCTTGCATGCGGGCCCCGAAGTATTCGTCCTCATTCATTGGTCTGCTTTCGTATACATCGCGTGATCCCCCCCCCCCCCAACCCCCGGCCCCCACACGGCAAAACAAAGCGGCAGGCAAGCACGGACGGCGGG